CTTAAGTCCCACCCCCATCTCCTACCTACCAACCTCATCCTGCCCCCTTGACCTATCCGTCCTCCTGGACTGACCTATCTCCTCCCTAACTCCCCACCTACACTCACCTTTACTGGCTCCATCCCTGCCTCTTTGACCTGTCTGTCTCCTCTCCACCTATCTTCTCCTCTATCCATCTTCTATCCGCCTTCCCCTCTCTCCCTATTTATTTCAGAACATCCTTCCCGTCCCCCATTTCTGAAGAAGGGTCTAGGCCCAAAAAGTCAGCCCTCCTGCTTCTCTGATGCTTCTTGGCCTGCTGTGTTCATCCAGCTCTACACCTTGTTATCTCAGTTCTACTTTCCTCCTTGATCCTTCTAACACTGTTCATTTATTTCCTTTATGTACTTATCCAGTTTCCTTTAAAAATCATTGATTGTTTCACCACTCTCACAGGCAATGAGTATGTAAAAATGTTTTTCTGTCTCAGATTCCCTGGTATCTTTTGTTTAAAAAAAGTTTGCCTCTGTGGTTAGGAAGACAAGCAATATCAGGAATATACCTGAGCTTACAATTAAAAAAAAAACTTATTCCTAGTCAGGAAAATGATTAATTCTCACTGCTAAGCTTCAAATTAATTACATGAAATGTACAGCAGACCAGTTCACCTAATTGTTTGAAATGACAGATGAATTGAGCAGGTATTTTGCTTCAGTCCTTATAAATAGGACAAAAGTAAATTCCAGAAACAGCAATAAAATAGGAAAATGAAGGGAGGGAGGAACTCACCAGAGAAGTGGTATTGAGTAAATCCTTGGAGCTACGGGTTGACGAGTGTACAGGTTCTGATGGACTTTACGTTGGCAAGATATAATGAGTGGTGTGCATCATGATGGTGCTGGGATGACCACTATTTATATTTTAGATTAATGAATGCAAAGTATGGTTACCAAATATTCTGAGGATACAAAGACAGGTAGGAAATTAAGTTGTGAAGCAGACGTAAAGTGAATACTAAAAAATATCGCTAGGTTGTGAATGGGGAATAAAGTGGCAAATGGAATATAATGTGGGAAATTGTGAAATTTTCTATTTTGACATGAAGAATAAATGAAGATTCAAATGATGGAAATGGTGACATTTTGCATAGCTTTGAAATGCAAAGGGATCTTGTGTCCTTGTGTGTGAATCTCAAAATGTTAATGTGGAAGTACAGCAGGTAATTAGAAAAGCTAATAGAATGATATTGTTTATCATGAGGAGAATAGAATAGAAAATATGGAGGATATGCTTCAAGTATACAAGACAATTGTGAGGCCATATCTACTGTGCGCAGCATTGCTCATATTATTTAAGGAAGACGTAAATGTGTTGGATGCATTTCAGAGAAGGTTTACTGGGCTAATACCTGGAATGAGAGGGTGTGTTGTTTTAGGAGGAATCTTGGACCAGGTAGGCTTGTATCCTTTGGAATTACAAGATTATGAGGTGATTTGATTACAACATATAAGATCCTGACAGTTCTTGACATGGTAGATGTTTGCTTTTATGGGAGAATCCAGAACTAACAGTAACTGTTAGAGCATTGGTGAATCACAGAGAATAAGTGAATTTAGTTTTTCTCTCAGAGATAGAGGTAGCAGATGCTGGAGAATCTGAGACAACAAGGCGTAGAGCTGGATGAACACAGCAGGCCAAGCAGCATCATAGGAGCAGGAAGGCTGACGCCTTGGGCCCAGACCCCTCTGAAGAGTGTGAAAACAGGCCAATTGGCCCAACAAGTTCACACTGCTCCTCTGAACAGCATCCCACCCAGACCCACCCCCTTATCCTTTCCTTCTAATCCCGCATTTCTCATGGCTAATCCACCTAATTTACACATCCCTGGACACTACGGACAATTTAGCATGGCCAATACACATAACATGCATATCTTTGGACTATGGGAGGAAATTGGAGCACCCAGAGAAACCCCATGCAGACATGGGGAGAATGTGCAAACTCACACAGACAGTTGCCCAAGGATGGAATCAAACCCGATTGCTTGGTGCTGTGAGGCAGCAGTGCTAACCACTGAGCCACCATGGGGTAAGGAGACAATCACAAGATTTTTATCAAAGACAAAGATTTATTACCCGTTAACCCCAAGCAAAATAATAAAGATGCAAATATAAGCACATGGCCTTCAGGCAGTCTCATGCACCCAGGTGCAAAGTTAGAATGGAAAACTTGCCTCTACAAAAAGAAGCTAAAAGAATATGTAGTTTTGATTTCTTTGGGTGGCCTCAAGATGCAAGGTTTCAACCTGACACCTTGGTTGATTTAATTCTTAAACAACATTGGAGTCTTATTTTGTTCTTTGTTTCCTGTTATGTCTTTCTAATCAGTGCTTTCACCAGATTTTCTTCTTGAAAGATAAAGAAAGAGAAAGAGAAAAAGAGAACTTTTCTGAGTCACTTTCAGTTCCGAAGTCAAATATCCAACTCCTCTGCTTGCTACAGAGTTTGTATTTTGTTTGTGTATTCTGTCTGCAGCTGATATTTCATCTCCAACATGTGAAGATTCTCATGATGGTGTAAATCAGATTGGAGATGTGGACCTTTACAAACTTCACAGGAAGGGCTTTTGGCTCATTTCATTGCCTTTAGGGAAAGTGTTATTTGCAGCTCATGCTGTCTTTTGTGTAATCTACGTTTCACGAAACTTAAAATGCCCCAATTGAAAAAAAGCACAATAAATTTGAGAGGTGGTGAAATTCAAATCTTACCTGGATTGTCACTGAAGCATGCAGTCACAAAAACTGCCACAATTAGGGCAATTTTTTTTTTAACCACATTTTCATTCTGATGAACCTGGAGTTAGTGCTGTGTCTTCAGAATCTGCTGCCTGTAACAATAAACCACTGGAACATCATGTGTTTTTCCTCTTCTTTCTGGCAGTAATACTAATGTTAGAAGTGTCCCCATTTCCAATGTTTAAGTTTCTTGAAACCTAGGCTATCTGTATGGCCAGGTGATGCCTATAGACATTTTCAGCCAATATTTTTTTTCATTTTTAAAATCATTTCAGTCCATGGAAGTTCCAAGTATTAAATCAAACAACAGAATTCAAGATCAATTGTCCATATTTTATATCATCATATGGATTGTTAAAAAAGAGTCTCCAATTTAGACGCAGGTAGGATTCCTGAGCCGGAACTTGTCTGCTCCATCAATTTCTTTCCTTTTTTTCTCTCACTCTTTTCGCAAACTTTTTCTTTTTACCTCCTGTTTCGGTGAGGCATCGACGATGTCCAAGATGAAAGCCAGCGCAGACTCCTGCCTTCAGCATGGACTTGAACTTCTGACCTTGTGGTGAATTCCAGTGTGGTCTGGGTGGGAAGGACTGCCAATCTGAAACACTTATTTCTCTACTTTTCTAATTTATTGCTGGACTTTTTAATTTCTTTATTTTTCTAATTATTTTTCCCTAAGAATTTGTACTTAAGAACCTGTACCTAGTTACCTTGGTAGCTAAGATGACACCATAAGTGGCAAGCAAACTTTTCACTGTACTGATGTGAGTACATGTGACAGTAAAGCTAATTCTTGTAATTCGTAACTATTGTAGAATTATAGATCTGTAGGTAGTGTCTAGTTATATAATAGATCAGTGGTTGTAATATTACAGAATGGTAGGCATTGTAATGTTACAGAACTGTAGATAGTGTACAGCAGTGTTACACATCTATGTTTGTGGATAGTAATATTACAGAATTGTAGGCAGTGTAAACTATAGTAATAAAAACCGAAAGAACTGCGGATGCTGTAAATCAGGAACAAAAACAAAGTTGCTGGAAAAGCTCAGCAGGTTTAGCAGCATCTGTGAAGGATAAAACAGATATAACGTTTCGGGTCCAGTGACCCTTCCTCAGAACCCTTTTGAGGAAGGGTCATCGGACCCGAAACGTTATCTCTGTTTTATCCTTCACTGATGCTGCCAAACCTGCCGAGCTTTCCCAGCAACTTTGTTTTTGTAAGCTACAGTAATATTACAGATCTGGAGGTAGTGTATGAGGAATATTACATGGCTGTTGGTCTTGCACTATGGTATTGCATTCCACATAACCTTGATTTTGTTGAGTGTCAAAAATCAAAATTAACTTGACACCTGAAGCAAAGGCTTGGCTTCCACAGCCAACTTGACAAATCCAAAATATTTTCCAAGTGTGTCACTTCTTTATTTATCTTTGCTACGAGGAACCAATGAGCCCTGGTGTGCATGATAAACATGCAATAACTTTTTCCAGTTGAGTTTGCATGAAGAGGAAACAGAGCAACAGACAGTATCTGCTAACTGCAATCAGCTTCCCAGCAGTCGAGAACTGTTGTAACATCCAGATATGAGCAACCACACTCACAAGTGTTACCGTCATTAGGAAGGTCATCTCTGAGGGTTTAAATTGATAAAGCGCCCATTGCTGAATGCATTCTCACATTGTCAAGTTCCTGCAAATTTCATTAATCGCCATCTGAATGTAAAATGGCTAGAGGTCAACCAGGTGATGAGGATTAAGTGATTTTACTCTTTTCCCCACTCCTGGTTTGAGGGAAACAGACTGAAGTTGTATATAGCGGGCTGTGAGTAATGTCTAAGAATTAAGTCAGCTTTGCATTCTTGAGTTAAACAGCATAAGAGTTAGTTTGATTGTGCTAATACTTACTCAGGGTAGAAAATATTAAAACTACTAATATATACACGTATGTTCTACTTTCCACCAACACACATACAGTCACGCCCCTAGCATGCAGAAAAAGGCAGCTTTCAAAGTAGGAGAGGTTAAACTTGATGAAGTTCAAAAGTGCAGATTTTGAGGAAAAGTCTCTAAGGACTCAGTGATTGTATCTGCAAGTGGTTTGAAGTTGCAGTTGATATGTCCTTTTCCTTCCTGTAAAATGTTTGTAGAACCATAGGGGCTTTCAGTAGAGTTTGTCTTTTGTAAGAACACACACATGCTTTTCTTTCTCAGCGAAACAGGATTCAATGCTTCGATGGGCTGTTGTGGGGAGAAAGAAAGAGAGAGAGTGAGAGAGAGAATATGAGAGTGCGACTACTTGAAATGACTGTGCAGAGTCTGTGGTCAAGACCCAATTCAAGCTTTCACACAAAAGGTATCACGTGACTGCTCTCTGGGTTTGTTAAGTTTTTAATGTTCCTGCCATTGACTGCTCAATGATATATCCTTCATCTTGATGAGATGGGGAGAGCTGTTTACATCTCCAGTGGTATCTTTGTCTCTACTGGGGTCTCTTTGCTTTTCCATGACGTGGAATACAGCTTCACAATTAGTTTCAGCCATCTTAAATTTCAGTCAATGTTCTTGCAGATTAAATTTACAATTTAATGTTTGATAGCACATCTCAAAATTAAATGGGAGGCAGAGCCATAGTAGTTTTGTCAGTAGTATCTGGAGATCCAGGCTAATACTCAGGTGGACTTAGGGGCCCTAATGTGGCACTGCAGCAGTGCCCTTACCCCTGGACTGGGAGGCCCAGGTTCAACAACCACCTGCACCTGAGATGTGTATTATCATCTCTGAACTGGTTAATTATTTAGGTTAAATTTAAAAAAGGACTTGAATCCCACCCTGCCTATTGCAGTGTTTTCCAGTCCAAATACTCTATCCTTTATGTAGAACATGCATTCTCATAATTCTTCTCCTCAGCACTCCAACCTTTGACCCTTCTGCCATCCTATCTCAAACCAGTCCTTTTTCTCAAGTACATTATCATCTCTCAATTGCACCTACATATTTCACAGAACTCCATGATTTAATCTCTTTAATCAGACTTTTGGTCCTTTCAAAGCACAAATGAACAATGTTAAACAACTTTATAAATAACATTTCCTGCCACTATGATCATGCTGAATATAATTCCTCATTCCCCTTGACCTTTCTGTCACCATTGACATGATCCATGATACCATCTTCCTCTAACAATACCCTTGTATTGTCCAATTCAGTGGGGCTGCACCCACCTGGTCATATTCACATTGATCTGAATATAGCTGCAGAGAACCTCCAACATTGCATTCCCTTCTTACATCTTACTTCCAGAATCCACCAAGGTAATATCATTTGCTGTCCTACATCATCAACAGATAGTCCTTTGAAAGCATTCATTGGAGAAATGGAATTAGCTTCTACATATAGGCTGCTGACAAACTGCTGTTCCTCTTCACCAACTCTCTAAGCCTCTTCAGTGGCTTTGTGTTATTGGAGTGAGTATTTTCCAGTCTTGAATAAATTGCTACATTCGGCACTCACCATATCCTCATCTCGGTGTGTTTCTGAATCTACGGAACCCAACCACCAGCTCAATCATTAGCTCCCCATTCCTCCGATGGTCCTCAAGAAGTTACAACATAATGTGGTCAACTAGGTGCAACCATGGGTCCAGCACTGGGTGCGCTCCAGCTCCCAATGGGACCTGGTTGATTGACAGTAGCTCCAGACCAGCAGGAAGCAAGGGTGTGGCTGGCCCTCCAACCAATGGGAGTGAATGAGGGGTGGGACTCTAGCAAAGCTTTACACAAGCTGGAGAAAGAATATGTCGTTTTCCTATTGGGGACGCTGCAGTCTTCAGGACTCAAATTTGAGTTCAGCAATTTTAGAGCTTGCCACCTTCTCCCACGTACTTATTCCAAACCCCACGCACCAGGCCTTATCATCACATGGGCTGCTACCACACATTTTCAACCGCTAATAGTCCACATTAGCAGCTATTCATGTTCCCAGACTGACCCTTCCCCACACCGTTGTTTATCCAACTGTTCTCTCTCTTTGGGCTCTATCTATATCTATTGTTTACTACCTCAGGGGAGGCAAAGACCTAGTTGTATTGTCGCTGGACTGTTAATCCAGAGACCCAGATAAAGTTCTGGGCACCTGGGTTCAAATCCCGCCACGGCAGATGGTAGAATTTGAACTCAATAAATATCTGGGATTTAAGAGTCTGATGATGACCATGAATCCATTACCGATTGTCAGGGAAAAACCCATCTGGTTCACTAATGTCCTATAGGGAAGGAAACTACCATCCTTACCTGGTCTGGCCTACATGTGACTCCAGATCGACAGCAATGTGGTTGACTCATAACTGCCCTCTGGGCAATTAGAGATGGGCAATAAATATTGGCCTAGCCAGCGATGCACTCATCCCATGAATGAATAAACCTCCTCCCTCTTATACCCTCACCCGCCCACCACTGCATCTTCAATTTCCTAGCTACCATCAGTTCTGACGATGAGTCACTGGAACCAAAACAATAAAACTGATTCCTTTCCACAGATGCTGCCAGACTGACGTTTTCCAGCAATTGCTGTTTTTATTTTTATTTCCCATGACATACCACAATCTCAGCTTGAACATTTTGGGAAAACAAAGACAAGACTTGTACAATTAAAAGTTAGCTTTTATAGAAGTGTTATAGAACAGAAAGACCTACGGTTTCAGATACATAATTATTTGAAGCTTGCATCACATATAGATAGAATGGTTAAGAAGGCATTTAACATGCTTGCCTTCATTGTTCAGACTTTTGAGTATAGCAGTTAGGACATTATGTTTAGGTTGTATAGGATGTTGGTGAGCTTCTTCTGGAGTAGTGTCCGATTCTGGTCTCATTATAGGAAGAATATTAATAAGCTGGAAAGGATTCAGAAGAGATTTACCAGGATGTTGCCGAGAATGGAGGGTTTGAGTTATCAGGAGAGGTTGGATAGGTTGGGACCTTTCTTCATTGGAGCATAGGAGGTTGACAGGTGACTTTACAGAGGTTTATAAAATCATGAGGGCTATAGATAGAGTGAATGGAAGATGTCTTTTCGCTCAGAGTGAGGGATTTCAAGTCGAGGGAGCATATTTTTTACGGTGAGAGGAGAAAGATTTAAAAATAGACATGGGGGCAATTTTTTTACACAGAGTGGTTCATGTGTGGAATGAACTTCTGTAGGAAGTGGTGGACATGAGTACAGTTGCAATGTTTAAAAGATATTTAGATAAATACATGAATAAGAAATGTTTGGAGGGATATGGACCAAGCGCAGGAAGGTGAGACTAATTTAGTTTGGGATTATAAACAGAAACAGAAATTGCTGGAAAAGTTCAGCAGGTCTGGCAGCATCTGTGAAGAAAAAAATCAGAGTTAACATTTTGGGTCCGGTGACCCCTTCTCAGTTTCTGAAGAAGGGTCCCGATCTGAAACGCCAACTTTCCTGCTCCTCTAATGCTGCCTGGCCTGCTGTGTTCCTCCAGCTCTGTTGTCTCTGACTCCAGCCTCTGCAGTTCTTGCTATCTCTGGACCAAAGAGCCTGCTTCCATGCTCCATGACTCTATAACATCCTTTAAACACATCTAAAGCTGAAGCATTCTCTCCTTATATCCTTGTTACTATTCTTATTCCTTTCCATCTCTCCAGCACTTTCTCAGGCTGAATCAAATAGGTCACAGTCCTATCCTCTCCATTGTAAAGACTGTCTATTAGAAACCCAAAGCAATCTTTGCTGCCATTCCTCCCTCCACCAATCTATTGGTGAAACCCCCATCCATACCTATATCAACTGCACAAGTGCTCTATTGGTTAAGCTCCTATCCTGTACAAGTTCATTAAAATTGTTGTCTACATCTTTTTTGGCACTAAGTCCCCATCATCTTGCTGACCTCCACCTTTGGATTTGCATTCTCATTTTTAATCCACTATACAATGCTTCCTCTCCATTTTTCTATGGCCATCTATTATATGCAACGTTTACCAACTGAATGCTGCCTATCTCCAAATCTGGATTCCTGCACCTTCTCGATCCTGCTATTGGTGAGAATACCTTCAGCTACCCAAATTCCTCCAGGTCTAGATCTCCTTCACCCTTCTTAAGATTCTCTGTAAAACCACCTCTCTGATCAAGCATTTTGTCATCTCTCCCAATATCATCTTCTTAGGCTCAGCACAATTTATTCTATAACTGCATTAACTTTTGGTCTCTATATTACCAGGAATCTACTTAGCTGATATTAATTAAGGGATAACCAATATGTGGCACTATTAATAAAAAAAACCAGTAATTATCATTCTTGCCTTGTTGGATAGTGCAACTGTCAAGTCATCTGCATCAGGAAGTTGTGGTTCATGCCCCTTCCCATGACTTTGAGAAAATACTGTCAGTTGACATTTTACTGTGGTACTGGAAGAATGATGGATTGTTGAAGCTGTTGGAAAATACACCCATGCATCTATTTTTAACAGAATGTTTCAGCTGGGAGGTACAGGAAACAACGAATAAGCATTCAAATGTCATGTTTCAGCTTTAGTTTCAAATATAACAAATAATACCCCTGTGTTAATCATCAAATAGAAAAGAAACAAGAAATCAAGGGTTTGTTTTAAGACTGGAGGATAAACCTTTCCTTTGTATAATTTAAAGTTTAATTCTTTCATGAAGTTTCACAGGTACAATACATAGTGCAAGGTGAAGAAAAGCCAAAATTGGGCCTGGTCTAGTCAAATAATCTATTGCACTTGCAGTTTAAGGCAGTTAACAGTAAGTTTCCAGAAGCAGGACATCAATCAGTAATTCACAAAGAAGTCAAAATAAAAGTGACAATAACTTATTCAAGGACCTACTGCATCCCTTAAAATGCAACTGCAATCAGTCCAGTAAAAAAATATTTACAATATGTTCAAATAAACTATCGAACAACAATTTTTTTAAACAGACAGTATTCACTTCTAAGTCACAGTTTCCAGTGGACATTTTTATATAGCAACGTTGACTGCACACATATCAAAAATGAAAACTAGCCTTTAGAAAACTCAGGTTTTAATTAAAGTGCAATTATACAAAGGATAGAAAGTCTAGCATGAAAGCTTTACTCCTTGATAAACCAAATAAGTTAAATTAAAGTAAAATACTGCAGATGCTAGAAATCTGAAAGAAAACAAGAAAATGCTGGAAATACTCAGCAGATTTGGTAGCATCTATGAGGACAGCAGCAGTATTCATGTTTTAGATTAATGACAATGTTAACAGTTACCTTTTCACAGTTGCTGTCAGAACTGCGGAGTATTTTTTTAATGCTAATCAAAGTTGAAGCACCTTGAACATGTTACGAGATGTGTAAGTAAATAAAAACAAAATACTATGGATGCTGGAAATCTGAAATAAAAGTAGGAAATAGTGGAGAAATACAAGAAGTGCAGCACAATCTGTGGGGAGAGAATCAGAGTTAATGTTTTGAGTCCAAAGTCTCTTTGAGTCTTCAGGATCTGCTGAGTTTCTCCAGCTTTTTCTGTTTTATTTTATGTAATAAGTGCAAGTTGTTATTAAAAAATTTGGGATCTCAATCTTTGTACAAAATGCAGTAATTTAGATTTGTTTTGAGCTGAAGACAATGAAAGATGATGTTGAATATTATCCAATGTTTACACTTTGAAGATGATCCAACGGTATGTAATGTCTTGTACTGAAATATGATAAACTACCAATGTACTTCTGAAACAGACATAATGATCTTTTAGAAATTTGGTATACATGTATTCTTAAAAACAATATGAATACACTTTTTAACTGAAATTTACTATTCTGGATATCAAATAATTATTGTAATTCTCCCTGTTCTAGGGTAGCCTTATTTAATATCTTTAGTTTGCAGCTCTTGAGCCCCTGACTAACCATGGCATGCTAGAAGGTGCAAGTAGGATAGGTAATTTTGTTTTATTGCATTCTATGAAAGAATTATCCCAAAGAACACAGAGTGTATAGGAATCTATACTACTTTGGTAGTTTACAAATTTTGAAAGTTGAGCTCACACATTTTAGAACACTCGCTTTTAATGTACTTAATTTAAAAAGTTTTCTAACAATTTTTGGCGAACTTAAAAAAAAAGGATCTGTGGATTTTAATGTTAGAAAAACAGTGGATGAATGGGAGGGATGTAGTTATTGTGGCCTGCTTTAGACATGAAATTGGTAATAGGTTTAATAGATACAGAAAAAACCTGGACACTTACATGAGGACTTCTGGGGTTTATCACTGACGTTGTGCACCAGGTCAAATGTTTCCAGACCAGAGTAGCCTTTACAGCAGATGTTGTGGGATGGAAACAAAAGAAATGCTTCTGAGGGTTCATAGGTAGAACAGGTGATATTTTGTTGGAAACGGAATCTCACAATCATAAATGTGTTGCCTATCTGGTCAACTGTTAAAGTAACTACAGCTGCAAGAATGGCTTGTTGTACCCAATTATACACCGTTCTGTCATGTGATGTGATGTTTCTCTTACTCAATGCCTTCATCTTTCTCCTAAGAAGACTGCTGTTGCTTTCCCACTCAGCAGGATCCCATCATATAGTTTCCTTGTCTATTCCAGTTGGGCAGAGCAAATTGCTCATGGATGTTGCAGCACACTGGAATGTACTGTGAAGCCCCACTCCCCAGATGCTGCATGCATTGGCAGCTCATCTTCATAGGCCA